AACTGGAGTTAAGGAAGGTTTGTAGCTGCCATGTAGATACTGGGAATCGAACCTGGATCCTCTGCAAGAGTAGTCAGTGCTCTTAACCACTGAGCCATCTCTCCAGCCCCAAATTGTAAAAGAAGTCCCAAGCATGCATGATAACTATGAAGAATCACAGCCCATCATAAGTAACTCATAATCCAAATTTTTAAACATACTTATTTTAAATCCTCTCAAATTTCTCCAGCAGAAAATATTATCTTAAATGTGGCCCATATAAGCATATTTGATAAAATGTGTCCAATTTGATCCTGTCAAATTGTTAAGTAAGCCACAAGAAGGATAAACTCCTAGGCCCTTAGCATTTTCTGGAGACTTCTACAAGGCAATGAGAGCCCTGGAGGAAGAAAAGATGGGTTCAGACTCAGACTCCAGGAGGAATCTAAGCTGCGTTTTTTTATGGAGAAGAGTTTGTAAAGAAGAACTTCAGAACACACATGGAATAAGAGACAGTGGAGGAATCAGTGTTTAAGGGAGGGTAGGTGCTTAGAGACTGCTGGTTAGTTGACTCCAGTCTGCTATCACAATGGCTTATTAAGTGTGTGTGTATGTGTATACATGCATGTCGCAAATGTGCTTCCCTGTGTATGTGCCAGGGGCATGTATTTGTGTTGGTTATTAGAGGTTGTTTCAGTTTCTTTTCTCATTGCTGTGATGAAACACCTGACAGAAATAAGAGAGAAATGACTGATTTTGGCTCCTGTTCACAAGGTTCAGTTCCTAGTTGCGTGGTCCCATGAACTTGGGCAGAAAATCATGGTGGTGGAAGTTTGTGGTGGAGGCTATTCTTTGCAGACAGAAAGCAGAAAGAAATGTGCTATCAGAAGAGACCAGAATGAAATACAGCCCAAAGAACATTTTTTCAGTGGCATACTTCCTCCAACTAGTGCACCCGCACACACATGCATATGCATGCACACACCACACATATGCACACACCACACACATGCATATACCACACATTCATACACACAAATTTTTTTCTTTATGTGTATGAGAATTTTGCCTGCATGTAAGTGCACCCATGTCATGCAATGCCTGCAGAGGCCAGAAAAGGGCATCAGATCCCCTGGAAATAGAGTTAAGAATGGTTGTTAGCAGCCATGTGGGTAGTGGGAACCTAACCTGGGTCTTCTGCAAGAGCATCCAGTGCTCTTAACCACTGAACCATCTCTCCAGACCACCCCCCCGACCCACAAAAAATTTTAATTCAAAGAATCTGAGGGGGCTAGAGAGCTGACTCAGCAGTTAAGAGCACTAGCCGCTCTTGCAGAGGACTGGGTTTGATTCCCAGCACCCACATAGCAATTAACAACCATCTGTAACTCCAGTTCCAGGGGAATCCAATGCCTTCTCTGACCTCTGCAGGCATTGTGCGACATGGGTGCACTTACATATATGCAGGCAATACACTCATACACATAAAATAAAACTAATAAATAAAAATTTAATAAAGAAGAAGAAAATGAAAAGCTTAACCTAGAATTCAAATAGGCTATTTTCTATGTCCAACTCCCTGTCCATCTCCCGCTCAGCTTGGATCTCACATCATCATGTAGTTATTAAATTAAAAAAAAAAATTTAATGTTAAGAAAAAATAAATTTTTTTCAAAAATGTTGATTGTAAAGAAATATGACATAATTTCAATAATAATTAACATCAAGTCACTTGATTTTGAAATGATTTCCACATTCTTCTACAAATGTCTCAATAGTTTACAAATTCTCCATTATATTTATATTACCTACTATACCGATAATAATTAAATATTTAAAAAGTTTAAACAAAAAAAATAAAATAAATATACAGAACAAGAACGTATATTGAAAGCTATGAGAGAAAAACACCAACTCACATATAAGGGTAGCCCCAGCTGGCCTGGAACTCACCCTGTCTCCCTGTAGCCCCAGCTGGCCTGGAACTCACCCTGTCTCCCTGTAGACCACGCTGGCCATGGACTCACAGAGATCTCCCTGCTTCTGTCTCCCTAGTGCTGAGATTGAAGGTGTGCACAACCATACCCAGCTTTAAATCATTTTTAGAAAACTACATTCTTGGGGCTGGAGAGATGGCTCAGCAGTTAAGAACACTTACTGCTCTTCCAGAGGACCCAGATTTGATTCCCAGCACCCGCATGGTAGCTAACAACTGTCTGTAACTCTAGTTCAAAGGAATCTGACACCCTCATCTGGCCTGCGAGCCATTGCATGCGCATGGTGCACTCACACAGGTGGAACACTCATACACATAAAATAAAAATAATAAAATGTTTTTTTAAAAAAAACTACATTATCAGAATGCCCAGCTCAGGTGTTTGGGGATCAGTTTACCAGATGAGAACTTGATGAGACTGAGGAGGCAAAAGAGAGGTAGGTGGCCTTTCTCGGCTATGGAGAAAGTCACACAGAAGTTTCTAGAGCCTTCTCGTTTTTCCTTGCTCTCCCTGCTCTTTATGCAGCTCTTCTTACCTGAAAACCAACAGCACCCCTCACCTACCACATGATGCTTGGCTATGAACCCAGAAGGCCACATCTTTCCTGGCCCTCCCCAAACCTTCCACTTCATAGTGACTGGCTGTACCTTGATCCCCTGAAAGCTCCAACTCATCAATCCCTCAGGGATTCATGGGAGTGGTTAGGTCTTCTTTAGCTGATTGCACAATTTCAGAAGGTCTCATCCCTACAATGGATCCCTGATCCTATGGTGACGTCATACCTCTGAAAGCCTGCCTGCTCCACCTGGGATCTGGTAGGCAGCAGAGAAGAGAAGAAAATGATGAGGAAGACTCTAGTAGTAAAAATGAGAGAAGTCCACACAGATAGACTGTAAAGGAAGGCAGCGTGGCTCAGAGGAAAAAAACAAAATTCTTCAAGTTAACCTGGTTGTCTGGGAAGAAGCAGAAACTACACTCTCTCCCAAGTGAAGGTAGTGGGAAACACCTTGAAGTGGAGCACTGTGGTCAGAAGAAGCAGTAAGGACAAGGTTACTTTTGAAGCAGCCTAGAGAACCATCTAACACTTTAAAACATCGTCACTGCCATCACTACAGGATGTACAGTGTGCAGGGGACAATGCTCATACATGATAGCTTCTGTTTAGGAAGTCTCTGTCCCCAGGAATTTAAGACACACAATGGAAGGGTTTACATTAAGGTCAGTGTTTTAGTTTGCTTTCTTTTGCTGTGATAAAACACTGACTAAAATCAACTTAGGGAGAAAAGGGTTTATTTGGTTTACATTTCCCTATCACAATCCATCTTTGAGAGAAGGCAAGGCAGGAACCTGGAGGCATGGACCATGGAAGAATGCTGCTTACTGGCTTGCTCCTCTGGCCTGTGCTCAGACTGTTTTCTTTTTATTATTATTATTATTATTATTATTATTATTATTATTATTATTATTTTATGTATATGAGCAAGCATATTGCCTGCGTATGTAACTGTACCTTGTGCATGAAATGCCAGTAGGGGTCAGAAGAGGGCATTGGATTCCCCTGAAACTGGAGTTACAAATGGTTGTTAGCTGCCATGTGAGTGCTATCTGCAAAAGCAGCCAGTCATCTCTCCAGCCCCTCAGCCTGTTTCTTATATTACCTAGGACCACTTGCCCAGTGGTGGCACCACCCACACTGGACTGGGCCTGTCCACATCACTCACTCAATAATCAAGAAAATGCCTCAAAGACATGACTACAGGCCAATCCTAAAAAGGAAATTCCCCAATTGGGGTTCCTGTCTTCCTAGGTATGTCAAGTTGACAACAGAAGCCAACCATGACAGTCAGGTTGGGAAGCTGAGCCACAAAATAGTAACAAAAGGACAGAGGTGGGAGGGGACAGTAGTAGTGACATAAATGAAGGGGATCCACCTTTCTCTGGGACATTGACAGGTATTAAGCATTGTCAAGAACTGTTAAACACTGTTAAAATCACTATTAATGTTAATGCTAAGGCCTTTAAACACTCTCATATTTATTTTCCCTGTATGTAAACTAAGCTTTGGGGGGAATGGAGCAATTTGACTTTCTAATTGACAGCTGCTTAACTCTTCCCTCATGCTCTGGCTGCCTTGAACAAAAGACTGTCAGCTAGTCAGTCAACTGAACTACCCTTAAGCCTCCACTGGATGTTTTGAATACTCCACCGACATTCTGATAAAGCTACTTGGCGATTACAGCTGCTTGCTGCTAAGCACAGCTCCATCTCCTCAAGGTGCAGCCACAGCCATGACTGTTTCAAATACTTTGCACTGAACTAATTGTCATTACAAGCCTTGATGAATGGTAGATGACCCTGCAGCCATTCCTCTAGGGGGAAGGAGGGAGGAGGGGGCACCTCCTCTAGTGGCCTAGCAGAGTGACTGTTCCATAAAGGGACAATGCCACGATTGCATTAATTTGCATGAAGGTCTGCTATAATTGGGTCAAACACCTCCTTTCCGGCTACATAGACTGGCTTCTTTGAATCACTTTGTGATCCAGTTGTGAGACAACTTCCTGGGATGTCTCCCCAACACACAGACATACCAGTGTGCTCCCTATTGGACCCAATTAAGGGCTTCTCTCAGGCCAGGTATGGTGATACACACCTTTAATCCCAGCACTCAGGAAGCAGAGGCAGGCAGATCTCTGTGAGTTTGAGGCTAGCCTGGTCTACATAGTGAGTTCCAGATCAGCTAGGGCTACATAGTAAGACTCTTGTCTAAAAAAATAAAAAATAAATAAATAGACTTCTCTCGAGTGGCATTTTTCTTGCCTAGTTTGAATATCCATCACTAGTACAGTGAGTTGAGCTTCTGATCCAAAGGAAGAAGCAGCTCAACAGTGACAAGGGGAGCAGCTCAGCCAGAGCAGTAGCAGCCGCTAGGAGCCATGACAGTGCCAGCAGGGGAGCCAAGGGAGTGGCCAGCAGCTCTGCAGGTCGGTAGGTCGCAGTGGTGGAGCAGCAGCCTCACTGGCAGTCATGACTGTGGCAGCAGCAGTGGCAGCAGTTGTGGAGCTGCAGCAACGCGGGAGCCACGGGAGCACGGCGGCCGCTGAGCAGGCGACAGCCCTGGTGGGAGCTGTGGCAGAGTGGCGGTCCAGGCGGTCGCCACAGTGCTGCAGCATGGGTGACAGCAATGACAAGCAGCAGCAGCGGTGGTAAAGGGTGGGGATAGGCTCTTCCTACCGTGACAGTGACCATGACATCAAGATGCACCTAAACAGTTCGATAGAGTAGCCTAGGTAGAAACAAGAGAAAGCAGAGAGTTGAGGCCAAGGGAGGACAGAAGGCTGGAAATAATGAGTGAAGAGAAATTGGTGGTCCTTGGCATGGGAAGGCCCTAAAAGAGAAGGGTCTCAAACACCATGGAAGAAAGGCAGAGAGTTGGGGGAGCCAGCCTGAGCTAGTAGGGTGGGGAGGCCCATGATCCTTCCAATGCAAGGTGCGTCTTGTGACAATACAAGGTGGGCCAGAATAGAGGTCATCGTTGGGGTAGTACAAACTCATAGGCCCCGAGGTCCTCTGGTTCATCCCTGGCAGGAGGATAATGGGCAAGTGTTTCCTCTTCTTCATCCCACATCTTTAAGCCTACAGAAAATAACCTTGTCCATGGGTCACAGATGCCCTTGTGACATCATGGCCATTTCTTCCTTTACCACTTGCCCTGCCCCTGATGAAGTTAGAGGAGCAATGCCAACAGGGAGACACCCATCTGAACCTCTGCTCTCCCACCATGGGCAGTCAATGTTATGTAAGACTTTGTCAGACCACCTTCCCTGGGGTGGGGATTTGTCCGTTGACAGAAGGAAGCCCGTTGGGGTCCAGGAATAGAATAGGGAGCTGGGGCAGTGAACACATTCCAGAGAAACTAGTCTTCACCCATGACCCAAACCAATTCCGATGGCAGACATCTGAAAAAAAAAAAAAAGTCTGAAGCAAACAAAGGTAGGTAAGAAAAACAGATCACTAACCCCATGACCTCACAAACTAGATTTGGAGGTCATCTCTGGCCCCACTGGGTGGACAGAGCCTTGCTCTCCTGTCTCCTAAATCACTTCCCTATCCTGAGTGAACTGTGCACAGATCACAAGGAAGGTGAGGCATGGTACAGTGCTTGGAAGTGGAAAGGCAGGCAAAGGTTGGCATGGGCCCTAGGGCTACGGAGTGGTTTGAGAAGCAGGAGTGGATATCAGTAGCAGTGAGGTGAGGGAAGACCCCGGATGGCTAGAGCACTGTGTGATGCTTCACTGAGCCAGCATAGGCTGAACATCATGAGTTCAGGACTGAGTCACAGGCCATAAATTGAACATTTCTTCACCATGAGGACGCTTGCCTCAGATACACGTAAAAACGCATTTCCTCCAATTCCCCCTGTGAAGTTTACAGGGCACACAAGGCAAATGTATCCCCACCTGATAGACAAGGATACTGTGGCAGAGAGGGTGAGCTGATACGGCTCATAGCCACGGACAAGACAAAAGCACAGGTAAAACCATACCCCTTGAGCCAGGCATGGTGTCACATGCCTGTAGTCCCAGGACTCAAAAGGCAGAGGCAGGCGGATCTCTGTGAGCTCAAGGTCAGCCTGGTCTACATAGTGAGTTCCAGGCCAACTGTGTTACAGGGAGACCCTGTCTCAAAAAAAAAAAAAAAAAAAAAAAACCCAAAACAAAAAAACACTATACCCATCTCTCCTATGTCCTCAGAAGCGCCTGGAAAAGGGATCCACCTGTTTGTAACAAATTCACAGAAGAATTCTATGCTTGGCTTGATTAGCTGTTTCTTGCAAAACTCTGCAGAAGAAACTAGTCCAGATCTCACATTTTGCTTTTCCCTCCTTGGCAGCAGATTCTGTAGGAACATAAATAGGGCTTTCCTGTTGTCTCCTCTTCCCTGTGTATGACAACATCCTTAACAGCTCCAGAATCAACTGATGGCGCTTGGGCTTCTATCCTACTTTGGACCTCCATGCCTCAGATTGCACCATACACCATGACTTCACAAATGTGTTATCTTTTTTAAATGTGTGATCCTTTAGAGATAACTTTTGCAAAACAATCAACATGAATTCTGAGAAATATCTGTATGGAAAAAGCAAGCAAAATCTGAGCCTTTTTTTTAATCATTAGTAAATACCCATAGTAAGTTTGATATGATCATTCTTCCCCTACCTTTGTGATCACCTCCAATACCACTGCTGCCCTACTTCCATGTGTACACTCTCCTCATCCTGCTGAGGCTCTGACACCCTTTCTATGGACACCTGCCCTATTCTACTTAGATTCTCTCATTAATCACCCACCCATGTGGATGCCTTTCTCTCCTGCTCAGGCCCCAGCACTGTACCCAGGCACCCCTTTTCATGTGGACATGGTCCTCACAGGATTGAGGCTCCTACCACAGCCCCCCTTATTGGGCTCCTGACTCATGTAAACAAATGCCCCCTTCATCCATCCAAGCACAGACAATGTCATGACACCTGTGTGATCTTGCTCATGGTGCTCTTGTTCCAACTTCCTACAGCCCAAGGATGCCTTCCTCATCCCACAGTTTATGATCCACATCAGAGCTAAGAACTTAGACCCCTGGGTGAACTCTTCCTATCTTGGCCTGGCTTCCCTGCTGGGCACCCTCCTACACCAATGCCTTCCTCACCTGAATTGGCATTCTCACTGATTATGTGGGTAGGCTGACTCTTTTGCCTCTTTGTCCAGGTATGTTGCACTGTCCATCCTATTGGTTTTTAGTTCAAGAAGGAAAGATAATTAAAAGGTAAAGGATTAAAAGAAACTACATTTTCAGTTTTATATCAAGCAAACAAACACGACAAGCCAACTGTAGAAGAAAGTTCTTAGTCGCTGCCTGGAATCTGCTTTAAGGTCTCACCCTATACCTCAAGAAAAGAGCCATCTAGAAACTCAGAAGATGCCCAACAGACACTGGATCCAAATGCTTGAACACAGGCCCTACCTTCCTCTCTCTCTCTACACACACCTAGGAGTAACAAAAAAGGACAGATTATTTCAAAAATAGCTACTGCAGGGGCTGAAGAGATGGCTCAGCAGTAAAGAACACTGGGTGCTCTTGTACAAGACCCTGGTTTGACTCCAGGTAGCCACACAGGGGCTAACAACCATCTGTAATTCCAGTTCCAGGGGATCAGACACCCTTTTCTGACCTCTGTGGGCAGGTGCACTTACATACATGCAGGTAATACACACACACAAAAATAAAAATAATAAAATATTTTTAAATATCTACTGTACCTAAAAAATGAAGGAAGGGACATTCCATAGATGATAACTATGTGGAATCCCTAGAAGGCAGAAGGCAAATATGACAAGACTGAAAGAAAATAGAAATAAGTCAAAGCTATGGAGGAAGAGTCTTGTTAAAGAGAGGCCATCCAGGCTCTCCAGGCTCAGAGGCAGATGGTCCAGGGGCTACTCAACTTTGGCTACCACAGGGGCTGATTGGACTCTTCCTCCAGGAGCAGTTGACTCCCCATGTAGCAGAAAAAAAAGGGTCTCTGTGTTCAGGGGAATGGAGGCTAGCCCAGGGAAGCAGAGCAGGACCTGGGGTCACACCCTTACCGGGTCACTGGCACCGTCTACTCATCAGAGAGTCTAGAACAGTCTACTCATCAAGAGACAGAAGATGCAGAGGACGCAGCTCTGGTTGAGCACATGTGCCTGCAAAAAGAAGGACCAAGAGTGGAGGGAGGAAACCCCACGCACTGCTGAGTAGATTTCCCACCATTGAAAAGAGGGTCTGAAAGAAATGCTGTAGAAAAATCACAGTTGAGTCGGCCAACTAACTGAGCCAAGGTGATTGAAGATAGATGGAGCTGAAACACATGTGGCACAGTTTTGCTGGCTGAAGATGAGATGCTGAAATAAAGAAGAAATAAAACCAGTAGTTTACCTCCCAAGGAACAAGTCAGGATGATCCTCACTTTCTCAGCAGCAACAGCGGAACAAAGAGAACCAGCACCCCAGCTTGCTAAAAAATTCTTTATGAACTCAGAATTATAAATGCACCCTAAATATTATCCAAGTTAAGTAGCAAATGAAAAAGCATTTTATCAGCAAAGACCTGAAAGTTTCCTTTAATATTCTGAAATATTTATTAAATGAATGAGATCTATGACAGTGAAAACTTAAGAGGAAAATGACACAGAAATGATGCAGCTGAGTAGAGAAACCAGGAACATTTATTCTTTAGTCTAGAGAAGATTTGAGGGGCCATCAAGATGGCTCAACAGGTAAAGGTACTTGCCACCAAGTCTGACAGTCTAAGTTTGATCCTTGCCTGGGACCCATGTGGTGGAAGGAGAGAACCAACTTCACAAAGCTGTCCTTTGACCTCCATATATGTTTTGTGGTATGACATACACACCCCACCCCCACACACACCCTGAACAAATACAGTTTTTAAATTTTAAAGAGCTGATTTAGGGGCTGGAGAGATGGCTCAACACTTAAGAGTAAGTACTGCTCTTGCAGAGGACCTGACTTTGATCCCAGCACCCACATGGAGCAGCTCACAACTGCATGGAACTCCAGCTCCAGGGGGATCTGACACCTCCGGCCTCCATGGGCACCTACACTTGGGTGCACATACCCACACCCATACATATAATTAAAAATAATAACAAATCTTTTAAAGAGTTGACTGTAAAAAAAAATTTAACATCAAGTCTAAGAATAATATTCGATATAGTAACAACATGTACAATGTTTAGAGAAGTGGGCAGAGGGCAATTAGAATAAAGCTCTTCCTTAATTTAAGTCACACTAGAGATGATTTGCTTCAGGTGTAAATATCAAATCATAAAATAAAATATGTATATCACTGCAGTACATTAGAAAAATATTATGTATAATTTTTGTGTCAGACAGGAATTGAATTTGGTTACTATAATAGAACCCTACACAGCAAGAGCTTAAAGGATTATGCATACCCTATATGTAGGCCATCCCTGCCTGATATCCAGGCTTCTTCTAGCACTCTCTCGGGCTTCTGATTAGACCCTTATTCTCATATTCTCAAAATGGTACCCAGGTGCCTATTGGCATGTGGACATTTCAGGAAATGAGAAGAAAGCTATCCCAGTCTCAGTCACCCTCCCGCAGCCCTTTTCCAGAAAACCACCCAGTGACTTCTATTCCAGTGAGGGTCACATGACCACCCCTATCTGCAGAAAGAACTGATTAATGTCATATGTTTTCCTGTTCCTTGATACAGGCATGATGATTCTGCAAATAATAATGGTTTGATTAATGAGGACAAGGGACTCTGGCTCAGTGCTGTGGAGGTAGGCTGATGGCACGTCCTTAGGTCATTGAGCACTGTGTCTCCAATAGTCTCTGGGGCCATAGTCTCTTTTTCTCCAGCTCTGAGGAAAGTTCTTCACTCTGTCATGTGCTTCTAGCATGATGCTCCATTCTTGCCAGAGACCCAAAGTTTTGAGGCCAGCCAATGATGATCTGCAACCTATGGGATATGATCTAAAATGAATCTTTCCTCTTTATAAGTGAGCTGCTTCAATGTTTCATCAACGCAATGAGAAGCTAAATAACATAAGGTGGATGTTTAAATTATCTCAATTTTGGGGCTGGAGAGATGGCTCAGTGGTTAAGAACACTGTTCTTGCCGCCCACCCAGTTTCAAATCCCAGCACCAACATGGCAGCTAACAACTGTCCGTAACTGCAGTTCCAGGGGAATCGACAGCCTCTTCTGTCCTCCACAGGAATTGCATGACATGGGTGCACTTACTTACATGCAGGCATAACACTTATACACATAAAATAAAAATAATAAACATTGTTCTTAAATTAAAAAATAAGCCAGGCATGGTGACTCACACCTGTAGTCCCAGCACTTGGGAGGCAGAGGCAGGTGAATCTCTGTGAGTTCAAGGCCAGCCTGGTGAGTTCCAGGACAGCTGGGGCTACAGGAAGACCCTGTCTCAAAAAGACCAAAAAAAATTTAAAAAATAAAAATAAACCAAAATGAATAAACAAATCAACAGATAGAATGACTTAACATTGTAAATTATGTCCAAGCTAGTAAATTGCACTCATAATAAAATAAACTCCAATCAAAAGTTCATCAGCAGATTTGGGGACTTGACAATAGAAGAAAAAAAGTCATATAAAAGAAAATAATGCATACAACTAGGCAGTTTGGTGGAGGAAAAGAAGACATGCTCATTCACACTAAAATGCATCACAAAACTAAAAGAATCGAGTGTGCAATGGAGATACCAGCTACTAAGAATTTAGGCAATGAACTTTTTTTTGGGGGGGGGTCATTTTGAGACAGGGTCTCTCTATAGCCCCAGCTGTCCTAGAACTCACTGTGTGGACCAGGCTAGCCTTGAACTCACAGAGATCTGCCTGCCCCTGCCTCCCAAGTGCTGGGATTAAAGGCATGTGCCACCACACCCGACAACAATGAATATTTTTTATGAACATATTAGATTCACTATAGTCTCCTCCTTCATGCATAAAGCTGCATTACAAGCTTTATCTCTTGCCTAATTTGAACCAGAGATCCTGTAGACACAGGGAAGTCAGGCAGGCTGGAGGCAGGGTGGAAACACTCTGCTGAAAACAGGAAATAAGTGAAGACTGTGCATCCTGAATACAGAGGCTGTGCTAACTCAGTGAGGACTTCCAGTCAAGTTTCACTCTCCTACTCTTAGACCCATAATTCTAAGCTACCTTTCTGAAGACTATAGGGCTTCATTGTACATTGATATTGCATGGCAAACTACAGGGTTCAATGACACATATCATAGACATGTGTGGCATAAGACTGTCCTCCAAATGTCAAGCTATGCCTTCTTCCCAAGCTTGGTTGACCCACTGGCTTAGGATGATCACAAAACTTACTCACTGTTGACCCTCCCTAAGAAAGGAGGGTCAGGGAAAGTCAATCATGCTTCCCAACCAACCAGTTGGTCTTAGTTGTACAAGGGGGAGGGACTAAGGGTACCTAAACTGAGGAAGCCGGCAGGGAGGTGCTTTTTATAGCCATTTTATAAGGCTGCTGGGAAGTTACAATCCACACCTTGATTTCACAGAGGTCCTTCTGTCTCTGCCTCCTGAGTTCTGGGATTAAAGGCATGCACGGATACACCCAGCCTCAGCTAAGCCATCTTGTTAGCTCCTGCCTAATAGAGTTTCTAAATGTAGAAAACTAAAAAAATTGAAGGGCAGAAATTATTTAATTAATATAACATAATTTCCCAGAATTGAATGAAACAATTTCTATACCAAAAGGCTAATAAGGTACCCAACAAAAAACATCCCATGTCCAGGTTATCATCCTGTCTTTCAGAAAATCAGGGAAGAAGTTTCTAAAATGTTTCCAGAGAAGAATAGGTCACATATCACAGAGGAAACAGTGTCACCAGGTTGAAGAAGAAATTGGAAATAAGTCTTCAAAATTCTGAGGGGAAAATATTTTCAATCTAAAATTCGATATTCAGGTTAGGAAGATGAGTCAGCCAGTAAAAGTACATGCTGTGCGAGGCCAGGACCCGAGTTCAATCTCCAGAACCTGTGTTTAAAAAAAAACAAAAAAAAACCAGGCATGGTGGTGTGCACTTGTAATCCCAGCACAGGGGATGAACAGATGGGAAATCCCTGAGGCTTGATGGCCTGCCAGTTTAACCTCCTCGGTAAGCTCCAGGCCGTGAGAGGCTCAAAAAAGTAGGTGTTGGGGGTGGGGGGTGGCCAAATGGCAAGATGGCTCTTGGAATAGAGGCACTTGCTGCTAAGCCTGACAATGTGAGTTTGATCCCTGAGACCCATATGGTGGAAGGAGAGAACTAACTCCTGCTACTTGCCTTCTGACTGCCAACATGAATGCACCCACACACAGATGTGCATGCACACACTTGTGGACATACATACCCCAAAATAAAATATTACAATAACATTTGATACTCTAAAATTATCAATCAGATTTGTGAGTAGAATGGTCATTTTCAGACATGTGAATCCCTACAAGTTTATACCCTTGCATGCGTTATTGAATACAAAATTTAAAACTGTTTATGGAGTTCTCCTAAATAAACGTTAAAGCTAAGCATTAAAATAACTTAACATAAAGATATAAGATATATACACATTAGCATGTGTAGGAATGACTTTTATCAAAAGGACAGAATCTGGACTAATGACTTTTAATTAACCTTGCAACCAAAAACCTACTGCAAACAAACTCAATGAGTCATGTGCTCTTGTGACCTGGGCACCTGACCTTGATCCCTTGGAACTTCAATTTGCTGCTCCATCCAAGATAGTGAGTGAATGTGGGTGCACTTGAGAATTAGCAAATCCAAACACTGAAAGGCAACGCATTCATGTTTGCATCTTCACTGACGTATGTATGAGATGTTTTTGGCCTAGGGATGAAAAGTCAAGATTGTCTGATAAGGGTGGATCTAAGCTTGTAGTTACCCAAAACTGATGCTGGAGAAACAGTTTTGAATAAAATTATGGGTAAGACCTGGCTCAACAGCACAGTTCCAAGAGCCATCTGGAGGAACGGGTACCCCTGAGTTCTGGGTCACTCTTCAAATTATAGTTAAGCATCAGGCTGTTTATTTAAGAATAACTGTAGTGTTGGCATCAGTAACACTGAAAATATACATATACACATATACACACAAAAATACATGTACACACACTGTCATAGGGTGTGCTCTATGAAAATAAGGACTATATCAAAGAAAGGGAGGTGTGGTGGGCAGGACTGTCACTCAGTGGTCTCAGTATAAAAAGTAAACAAGCATCTCACAAAAAGCACATAAGCATAGAGTTTTAAAAAACACTCCTTTAAAAAAACTTCTTTAAAGCCAGGCATGGTGGCACATGCCTTTAATCCTAGCACTTGGGAGGCAGAGGCAAGTGGATTTCTGTGAGTTCAAGGCCAGCCTGGTTTACATAGTGAGTTCCAGGACAGCTGGAGCTACAGGGAGACCCTGTCTCAAAAAGACCAAAAAAAAAAAAAAAAACTTCTTTAAAAACACTTCTTTTAAAAAGCTTCTTTCGGGGCTGGAGAGATGGCTCAGTGGTTAAGAACACTGGTTGTTCCTGCAGAAGACCCAGGCTCAAATCCCATCACCCACATGGCAGCTAACAACTGTCTGTAACTCCAATTCCAGGGGATCTAATAGCCTCTTCTGTCCTCCGAGGGCATTGCACAACACGGGTGCACTTACCTACATGCAGGCAATACATGCATACACACAAAATAAAAATAATAAATAAAATTTTAAAAAAAACATTTTTAAAAGCTCCTTTCTAGAGGCTGGGGAAATGGCTGAGTAGTTAAGATCATTGACTGCTCTTGCAGAGGACCCAGGTTCAATTCCCAGCACCCACATGGCAGCTAACAACCCTCTGTAACTCCAGTTCCAGGGGAATCCGACACCCTCTTCTGATCTCCTCAGGCATTGCATGACATGAGTGCACTTACATACATGTCAGCAATACACTCATACACATTTTTAAAAGGAAAAATAATAAATAAAAATTTAAAACTCCATGCCCAGAACCCCCATCCCTATTGGTTTGAGGGTCAAGTATCCAAATGGGACCATGCATGAGACTAGGGAGGTAGAAGGGAAGTTGCTGAAGTTCCTGAAGTCTGATAAGAAGGCAGAGACACAGAGAGGTATCTGGAGCCTTCTAGCTTCTCCCTGTTCTTCCTGCTTCAACATCCACTCCTCACCTGCAGACCAACAGTGTCCTATCCTACCACATGATGCTTAACCATGCACTCAGATAAAACTCTCCAAGAGCTCTTCATGACCCTTCCAGTTTATAGTGTCACATCAGCAACTGGCTGTGTCTGGTTCCTCTATAAGTTCCAACCAGTCTACCTCACAGGGTTTTGAGGGGCTGGTTAGGTACATCGCCACCCTCTACCAGACCCTCTCTTCCTTGCTGTTTGCACGACTGCATAACGTAGTTCCCACAATGGCTTTTACTCTGCAGTGGCTCTGTAACCCTGATGAAAGCCTGCCTGCTAAATGAGGGATCCCAGTAGGCAAGATGCTCCTCCCAGGGAAAAGGGGAATAAAATGGAAGGAAGACTGGCAGCAGTCATGAGAGCAGTTCATGCAGCTAGGACAGGAAAGCAACAGGGCTCCAAAAGAATAGCAAGATTCATCCATTACCCAAGTTTGGGGAAAGTTTGGGGAAGAAGTAGGAGAGCAAGATAAATCATGACCTCAAGAACAAAGAAGAGTTCACAAAAGGAAATATAACAATATGCTGCTGCTGAGTGATGAAGA